GTATTCTGTAATAGTAATTTTTTGAAGAATGTATGGTTAAAAAAGCAAGAAAAGTTTTGGGTTTATGCATATTATTTTACTGGAGAATGTGTGGTTAAAAAGAGGAGATAAAAAAATGCATTTTGGATAAAATGGAGCCCAATCAGGGGCTAAATATGTAAAATACCATTTGGAAATAAATGGGTAAGCTCATAATCACAGTTGAAGATAAAATAGATGAACAGATTCAACCCTTCAGCGACAGATTAAGCATTTAGACAAGGAGCACATTATTCACTAATCATAATTTAAAAAGAAGCTGGCATTAAACTCCACTTCCGGACAAGATAAAGAGAGTTGGAGACATGTTCACAAAGAAGGCGAACATTAAAAGATGGATTTGATAGTTTCTTACACAGTTATTACGAATCCACTACATCTATGCCCCAAGATTTGTATGCTCATTTTGAGATGACATTTAATCATTTTATGGTAAGTTAGTATGTAGGACATAGTCTGAGCAAAATCAATCTAGTTACTGTGATCATCAAAATGTAAGCAAACCAAAGTGCAAAGCAATAACTAGGAAGAAGATTATCAAGAATAAATCAACAGTACGTTACCAGTCAAAGATCTGACAAGCTCATTTGATACATATTCCTGAAGCGTGTGATTCGAAAATAAAAACTTGATGAGTAGTGCTGCCTGTGCTGCAACCTCTGGATATGGAGTCAGTAGCAGTTCTTGAATTACTAATATGCCACCTGCTTCTGCAACAGCTCTCCTATTGGTTCTGCTACGAATGACAAAGTTTTGTAATGCACAAATTGCAACCATTTTCATTTCCTCTGTTGGCTGATCTTCTAGAAGTCTTACCAATGCTTGGCAAGCTGAAACAGAATAGCTAGCTCGGGCTAGCCCTTCATGCTGGGAGAGGTCGCCAAGAGCAAGAGCTGCAAGAAGTCTACCTGTTTGTGATCTTGTTTGCGGGTCAAGCAAATACTGTGCTAGAGGGGCAATTGCATATTTTGAAGCCTTCATTCCCCGTACCTGGGTATTGTTGAACAAAGCTTCAAGTAGTTTACCGGATGCTTCTTCACACTGATGAGATCTCAATAGATCTAACAGAGCATCTATGGCACCAGCTTCAGCCATCTGTTCAGCACTTGAAGCATCGGTTTTTTCTTGAACAATGAGTGCATTGAGCGCAACTGTAATGGTGCTCTCAAGAGTCGAGTGCAACATTTTTATAAGGACAACAATGGGAACTTTGAAGTAGTAGTCAGCATTAGAATGAAGAAGATTGGAGAGAACTACTGCAGCAGATTCCCACAAGGCATCAGAAGGTTGAGGATCATCTTGAATAATAACCTTAGAAAGCTCAAAAATACCACCTTCATCAGCAACTGCCTTTGGCCAACTTAAGGAGATATTTTCTAATGCCTTAATTGCTGTTTGCTGTAAATTCAATATGCCAATTCCTGCAAGCTGAACTAGAGGAACAACTGCATTTTTTGTTGTGATATCTTGCTTAAAATGCTCTTGTGCAAGAAGATGAGATAACAACTCTGTACCAAGCTGCTGAATAGCTTGAGATGGAGATTCAAGAAATGAAATTAAAGGCTCGATGACTTGGCTAGGGGTAAGTTTCAAAGTTGCAAGGCTTTGTGGTTTCTCTAAAACATTAACAAGGGATTGTAAGGCACTATGCTGGCCCCAAAGACCGAAATCTCTCCGAAGCAATACCGTAAACAGAGGTTCTAAGATTTTTGCAGCAGCTGAGCTTTTTGCAATTGCACTGCTGTTTGTCAAGATTCGGAAAAGTTCAGCAATAGTGGAACACAGTGAATTGGAAGCAGTGGGGAGTAACTCAAGGCAATTTTCAAATATTCCAGCATTAACCATATCCAACTTTAGTGGGGTTCGGTCTTTTCCCAGTTTAATGAGGGTACATATGCTAGCTTCGATGAGCCGATCATTTGATCCAGACACCAGACCAACAAGAAGACCAACGACATCATGAGCTGATAAAATTTCAGCTTGTCGTTCGTCATCCAATAATCTCTCAAAAGCACAGACCCCAGATTCCACTGAGATCTCTTTATCCGACTGCATGAGTGATATAAGAGGTTCTATACAGTCGGAGGCAATTGGCATTTCTCTGAATTTCGAATTACCAAAGAGTACATAACATAATTCTGCAGCATCACTCTTCAATTCTAAAGTAGCAGAAGTGGACAGAATTTTACACAAACTCTCAAGAGGATTGCCTTCTACTTCAGCCAGCATAGCTGCTTTTGCATTATTTTCTGAAGTCAACTTAATCAAGGCACTTAGAGCAGCCTGTAGTTCACTCTCCGAAGCAGTATTGAGCATGTCGGCCAAAGGCTGAATTGCCTGCATGGACACTTCAGAATCTCTGATGTTCTCGGCATCAAACAGTTCACTTAAGGCTCTAGCAGCACTCAATTTTGCACTTCTTGATCCCAAATGAAGAACTGCAATGAGTTGATTCACGCAACTATATGCTGCATCATATCGGACAAGATCTGGGTTGCTAAACAATATTCTCAATAATTCAGATATAGTTGCCTCAACTATGTCTTGAGGGCTCAAAGATAAGTACTTGGTAAGAGCATCCAGTGCTCCAGCTTCACCCATGAGTAATTTATTGGTATCATT